TATATATATATTCGGAGAGAAAGAGAGGACAAAGGGGGATTGTAAAGGATACGAAGATGAGGAAAGAGGCGTGGCGGTGGACAGCAAGGGAGATTGAGCAGAGGGCTAGTCACGAGGGGAGGGAGATGAGGGGAGAAAGTGAGGAGGAAAAGAGCGGGGCGTGAGAGGAAGGAGAAGGGTAGAACGTGGTATATTCGTGAGAGGAACGGAGAGATGAAAAATGATTGGAATTGCGAGAGGGAGTAAAAGAGCGGCATGGAGTGGGCGTGTTCTTAGCGCTCTCTCTCTCTCTTCTCTCTCTCTTAGCCGTCTTCTTTCACGATGGCATCCGTCGCGACTCTCTTGGAATCCTCGCCACCGCGACCGAGAGAGAGAGAAAGAGAGATCATGATGAGACGGTGGTATACGCGTCTTTTACCGTAACCTCTCGCCTCTATCCCCGTTTATCCTTGTCTTTCCGTCAGGGTGAGGGCACCCGATTCCCGCTGCACACCACACGTCCTCCTCCCCCCGCTCCCCCCGCTCCCTTCGTCCCCCTCCCCTCTAGGGGGCTTTTCCCATACCACCCTCGACGGATCGATGGTGACTCCTTCGCCCCCCGTTGCACGGCGCTAATGTCGCCTAAGCGCCGCTCAGTCTGAACTCAGGGTTCACTCAGTCTACGAACGTTTGCCACGAGACTTCGATCTCTCGCCGCATCGCACGTAACGCTATCTCTATCTCTCTCCTTCTCTCTTTCTGTTCACCCGCCTGTATATCTCTCTCCGCTTTTCTCCTTTTCCCCGCTTGGCAGAGAGGCAGGTAGGCCAAGCGGTGACCGGGGAGGCGTGCGTAGTAACCATCCACGTCAACGGAAGTCTTGCCCGCGTGCTTTCGGTTACTTTCGGCCCCCATATAGTCGTCCCGTGCAACCCCCGCTGCTTCGTCCGCTTCGACCGGCTGCGGATCTACCTGCGGCGCAACGAGAGAGGTGAGTGTGGGCGACCTATCGCACGTCTACCTTTACGCGTCTAATTTCTATTCGCAAATGCAAAGCTTTTTGTGTATGTATGTATGTATATATATATATATATATAGCTATATATATATATATATATATGCGAGGCGATCCATAAACGGCGAAATACTTCCTACTTCTTGCGTACACAACTACTCGGCAGACGATTCGTTTGCGGTTTATCGTTTATACTTTCCCTTATTCCTTCGTCATCGCTCGTTATCGGAGAAAGTGTTAACGCAGAATAACGAGGTAGATCGATTCGCGATAAACTATAACGAACTGGGAGCTGGGAGGGCTCTTTAAACAAGTTTCGGCAGCGCGTGTCTATTTGTCAGTATTACGAGGTTTTGCGGATTTGTTATATATGTATATGGCTATACGTGCGTGTGTATGCGTGCGTGAATTTGACTATCAATTTTGCGTAAATTTTCGAATTTAAAGTTGGATTTGTCTTGGAGCAAAGTTTTACTTTTGGAAAACTTTTGCAAGGCAGATTTATTTCTCCAATTTTACAGGCCCCTTAATCTGAAAGATCTCTTTCTTTTCTGCAAGTAACGGAACTTTTTCCTCGCTTGAAATTGTAAAGATACATTTGCGGCTATATTCAGATTCATTTAGATTTTGCGCAAAATTTAAATGAATATAGTAAATGTGTTTTTAAAATTTCAAGATTTAACGCTCTTTCAAAGCATATAAATCTATAGTTGCATCTCAATTAGATATGTGTAGCTTTTGGCAATATTAAAAATTTTAATTAACAATTAAGATCAATTTTTTTTTTAGAAACGTAAATGTTGATTATGTTATGGTTATATTAACTTTGAAATATATCATAAATTTCATACGTATATTGACTAATATAGACACATGTATTATAATACATTTTTATTTTCATTATATTATTATAATATTGAAGCAATTTGGCAAAAAAGTAAATAAAGCTCTTAAAAATTCTTTTAAACTTTTTAATCGTACTTCGTATAAAAATGGATTAGATTTTTGATCAACAGAGATTATTTCAGGCTGTAAAAAATATTGGAATTATTTTATACACACACACACACACACACACACACACACACACACACACACACACATATATATATATATATAAATGTATGTATGTATGTATATGTATCAGAAGTTATATTTTGTATCTTTCTTATACAACTGTACTCGAGCCTATCTCGGGGGTGATGAAAAAATATTATACTGTATTTGTACTTACTTGATAATTATATAATCTGCACAAACATTTGCAAACCTGCAAAGAATGTGCATTAAAAAATCTTTAAATCTATGAAAAAATAAATTTTGTAAATAAATATATTTTTGTGCAAATATTTTTGATATTACAATTGTAAATTGTTAATAGTTATCTTTTCACAGTACTTTCTATATATATATATATATATATTACAAAGAATATTGAATCTGCCTTTTAAAAGAGAATCCTGGTTTATTCAAGCGGTACGTTGTAAATTTTAATAAATATTAATAAATTGAAAATTTTAAATTATTGCAGAAGTATTGCCTTTTCGAGGAATTTAGAATAATATCGGCTAATTTATTTTAATGTATAATATTTTTATTTTTAATTAAAATGCATTTAAATAAATAATGCACACAACAAGAGTATATGGCTATTTATTACTTTTTCAAGTTTTACTGGATTTTCTAAAATATTGGTTGTACCGGATATGTATATATTTATATCTGGTATATGTATATTTTAGTTTATTAGAGTTTTCTCTTGTGGTTTCCGGGCTTATAAGGTGCTGTCATCTGTTAGCCGGAGAGAAGGTCCATTTAAATAATATCTACTAATATATACGATATAAATCTTGTCTCTGCGCTGAACGTGCAGAAATTTATTTGCTGCTTTAATGAAAAAGAAAAATCTTCACCCTTTATTTTCACGCAAAAATACGAAGTATTTTGTCAAATATTGCTCAGAAAAAAAAATTTTGATATTTTATATCATCTCTCTAAAATAATGTGTGAGGTAAAAGTTATAAAATAAGAAATTTGGATGTGCGACAGAGATGACTAGTAAAGTCTCTTATTTAGTTACCTCATATTATAGTACCTGTTTTTAAAAGCAAGACCAGACAACATAAAATATTTAATATTTTGAAGAGAACGCTAGACTAACTAGATATCAGTAATAAAACGCACGATCTAAAGCACTATTTCTATTTTGTATTATATATGTTAATGAAAAAATATATAAATATATAATTGTGTATTATATTAACTTTGTAAAACTTACTACTCTATGCCATTGGCAATTCTCATCAAATGAGAGAGATTCTCGCTATTCAGTGCATAAAATATGTATTAGGTGGGTGTGCATGCTGATGAGTGCGTGCAAAGGCAAGTAAATCTCGATTAGTAGTCGCGATTCATTCGCAAAATGCTAAATTACTACTCAGTATCTGTATATGAACTGATGATTGTATATATTCGACACACATTGTTGAAAAGATGGAACAAAGATGTCTATCTCTCTCAGCTCATTTGTCCTATATCTTTATGTGTGTGTGAAGGAAGAAATAGTTCTTTTTTATTCTTGTCCAAGAAAAGGGTTGGAAAATGGCGGAAACAAGAATATGAAACGCAGAAAAATCTTCTTTGTACTAAGAATATGCATGCGTTTAACTTATTTCGCACGAAATATATCTGATTTCGCAAAAGAACAGAATTTATGGAAAAATCTAGTTTTTTGCTCAAACATTTATACTTTAAAAGGATGTGGTTTGGATTTTCTAAGGTAGAAGGAACTGCTTGAATAAATCAGTTCTTTCCTGAAAGATAGATGCGTTATTCTATAACACATACACGAAAATTTTGAAAAATAAAATTGTTAACGATTTATGATTTTAATATCAGATTCGCGCAAAAAAAAATCTTTTTACTTACAATTTCAAAATTAATTTTTGTTCAAATCGAAGATTTTATTTTATTTATGAGCTTTTATGGATCAATGATCGTATTTATAGGCTGGATGATGAGATAAAAATCAATAAAGATCAAAATTAAAATATTTTCTGTATATTTTTATACATACGCATAAATTCAATTGTAATTCCTTTTAATTCCCATATGACATAAGGATTTATATTAAATATGCCATTTATTTCTGAATGCGTTCCCCTGTCGTCTTTGTCCCAGATTTTTTTTGTGGAGAAGAGAAATGTCTCAGGCAGATCCCTAGATCGCGCTCACCCTCCTAAACTGTCATTCCATTGGCCGCTTTCAAGCCATTTCCTCGTTTTTGCACATTAAGGACTACAACGTGTGAGAAAGAGAAGACGGGAAAAAAGAGAATAGGTAGAGATGGAGAAAGATTATGTCCACACGATTCATTCAGCCTTCTAATTTATTATAGTCACGTGTTTCGTTTTTATACGATTAATCGTAATCTCGTAATTAATCAGAGAAATCGTAAGGTTTAGTGGAAGTTAATATTGCAATCGTTCAAGAGTTGATCTTTCAAAAGAAAATAAAACGAGCGGGTAAGTCACTATATCTCCGTGCCATTTTGCAGAATCCCCTGAGATATTTTATCTCATTCCTTCGTATACGCAGCGATTTAGGGGTGAAATTGCATCAAGAATATGTGGCAACCCTTCCACGCAAAAATTCTAAAACGCTGTCAAATTTTATCAGGAGCGAATTTGCCGAATTAATCGAATTTTGACATTCTTTAGTCGAATATAATGACTATTAATTGCAACATATAAAAATCTTTACGCGTACAAAACTTTTACAAAGAATTTCAAATAGCATCGATACACAGTTGGAAAATTTGTGTTAAATTTAACATACATCGCATGTCCCAAACAATCCACACAAATTTTTGTGTTAATTTAACATAATATGGATATGTTAAATGGTGATACTAATACTATGTTAATCTTTCAACGCAAAATGCATGCAAACTTCATAATAATTTGAAAGAAATTTTGTGTAAAACCAACATATTTTTAATAATAAAATTAACTTGGAGAAATGTTGTCTGTAGTCACTCTCACTCCTATTATAAAATAAAATCAACATTTTTTTCTGTAAATTTTAAGAAATAAATTCTATCACTAATAATACGGAACATATCTATTGTATAGAATTAAAAATACGTGCACATTGTGTTATTTTTACACTTTCTTTTCAGTTGTTTTAATAATTTAACATTTGAGTTCAATTAACACATCGCAATATGTTAAATTAACATAAGAATGTGTTAAATATTTAAATATAAAAATTTTAACCGGCATATTTTTTAACAAGAAAACACAATTTTTCCAACAGTATACTAATAATATCAGTAGTAACGGTACCATTTTAATCGGACATCGGATTATTGATTATTATAATATGTAGGAGTATGTGTACTTTTGAAACAAACACATCTTTTATAGAAATTTGTTCAAAAGTCTTTATAAAAGTTGACATAATCATATGAAAAAGATACTTATATGATATAGCGATATTTCATCTACCAAGTTTCATAAAAATTGTTGAATTATAATTGTATATGAATTTCGTTACAACGGACAACGCTGTGCATAATTAATTAACATTTAACATTTTTTTGTTACTAAATCATGATTATTACGCATGCGTATACATATTTGTTCGTTTAGCAAGGTTGTAACGTGACAAAGAGCGTGAAAATGCTCGGATAAATCCCACACGTATCGCGCTAAATAGGCTATTAACGATTAATGGATATATCCTTTAGACAGTGCACCATTTTAATGGAATTGCACGACGTTAATTAATATTCTACACCGGCTAAAATCTGTTCCTCCGAAGGCGGCTCGTATCTATCAGCGAAATCGTATTTAGCATCTATTAGCGATGCCCTGCAGCATCGTACTCAGAGCCATGTACTCGATACTCGCATATCTGCATTAAAAGGGCAAAAAGAGAGAGACCAGTGTATGTGAGAAGTAACAAAGGATCGC